TAACTCCTCCCCGAACTTCCCGCTGCCCTGTATCTTGGTCTTTCATTGGCTGTAGCTCATCGCCGATGTAGTTTTCAGTCAGAAACCATTGCACACAGCGAGATTGTGAATCGCCGACAGCTCTAGATATTTAGCATGCCAAATATTTCACGGCGTCGGCGACGCATCGGCTATTCTCTCAGATCGCGTCTTTGATATTTCACACTGTGTGATTGTCACTCGCGTGAACGAGCACCGATTTGCCTCCGATTTCGGCCATTTGTCGGCGATTTCGCAAAACCTGTCGGCGAGTGAAAAATCGGGCTAAAATCGTGCAGTGTGAACTCGGCATTAGGTTATTAAAAAAATAACCTACAGGGAACGTTCCCAGAACGTTCTTATTTGGTTCCCAAAAAATAACCAAATGGGAACCTAATGGGAACGTTCTGTGTTTGTTGGGTAGTTACTTGAAGAATGTAACCCGTTTACGCAACTCGCGTTACTTGTAATGCGTTACCCCCACACTGATGATAGATAGATAGATAGATAGATAGATATTCACCTCATTGGCTTCACTCTGCTGCTGTTCCTTCTTTCGTCTTCTCTTCTCTTTCTTTTTGTCGTTATTTTGGTTGGTCTTCCCGCTGGGAGATTTCCCCGAGCGGGGTTTCCCTGCTCCACGACCCGCCTTAGGCTTCCCTGCGTCCGAATCCGAGTCCGAGTCCGAGTCGACCTGCAGCAGAGCGAAGCGGGACGCCGTGGTGGGCACCGAGATCGCCGCCGATGCCATCCTGAACCTGCCAAGCACACGACCGACACATTCAGCCTGATTCAGCGCAAACACTGATTTACGGCGAGAGCATTCACAAACCAGTGCTAACGTTACATAGAGGAACACACAACAACATGCATATAATGAACTGACAGAAACAAATAAAACCAGTTTTAAACTGCATTGCAAATCACAAATCTGTTTGCTGTAGAGTTATGGCACTTGTGTAGAGAATAAACGACACATTTAGGCTTTTTTAAAACACTCATATATACTGCGGTTGCAATCATCACATCATTTGATACCCCGAATGTCGCTAGCTTCGACTTTTTTTAGCTCGCCAGTGCTAAACACAAGTAACAAACGCGTGCTGTCGCTGTCATTTGTCCTGAACGTGTTTCATGCTCTTCAGCTCGTCTCGTGCAACTTAAACCTGAACCAAACAAACTTTCACCTGTTTAGGATTGTCGGTATCCTCAGCTTCGAGCAAATAGAAACTGCGAGCACACACAGACGAGAGTATGGCGGCCTGAACGGACACAAAAGCGTCGAAGCTGTCATTGGGTGGAAAATGCGGTCAGATAATAACCGAGCCCGGGTTCATGGAGCGGTTCTCACTCCAGGTGGCGCTCTGCGGCTCAGGAAGCCAACTCTCAATTCAGTCGCATCAGTTATCAAAATGATTTTTTTTGTGTGTGTCTCTTAAGATACTTGTATCCTAAAACTAATAATTATTTAATTTTATAAATGTAAATACTTGGCATGCATAGTAGTACGTGGCGCAGAAATGTATATAGAGCTATTAAATTATTCTTTTTTTTTTTTTATCCAGTAATCACAATGACTGTGATTAGTCTATCCTAATCAACGATGAGAAAAGCAATAGATACCGGTGTGGAAAATAATTCACGCCTGAATAATTGCAAAGAGAAACTTTATTATGCACAAAAAGTTAAAACAGATGACGTTCAAATCCAGCTAACCAATTAGAAACGCCGTCCACGACAAAGCCCCGCCCATTACCTGTTTCCATGCCTAGCGGCATCTGGTCACTTATTTTATAGGCCCGTCTGTAAATGCTCAAAAGCGTTTAAAAAAGATGTACGAGCTCTATTGTATCATCAGTATATTGGACAGTACTCGTAGTTCTTGCTGTTCACACTTTTAATCACCCTAGTTTTAAAAGATATTTTAAAAACTGAGCCTACAGTAAACCATCAAACCGGAACAAATTTCTTGTTTTAGTGGGTTTGTAAACTGGTATCAACCATCAAAACGGTCTTAAATTCTGATTATTAAATCCCTTAATCCCTGATGATTAAGACTTCAGTGTCTCATGATCCTTCAGAGATCATATGCTGGTTTGGTGTTCTTATTATCAATGCAGAAAACCGTTTTGCTGCTTAATATTTTTTGTGGAAATTATAGAAAGTTCAAAAGAACACTTACTTGGAAATAGAAATTCCTGTAACAATATAAATGTCTTTTCTGTCATTTTTAAATCAGTTAAATGCATCCTTGCTGAACACAAGTATTATTTTCTTTAAAAAATAAAAAAATTCTTAAAGTCTCTTAATCATTTTCACATAATATTAAAAAACACCCCCATCACACATATAAAAGACAAATTAAAGACTTTATTCCATGTGATAAATGTTATTAAACATATAGCCTATATATATTTTGAAGAATTTAAAATTTCTATATTTTAAGTAGTCGAAAATATCCTTAAATGAGGAATTCATATGAATATTCCATATTTCATGGCTATTTGATTAAAGCAAGCTTTTTTGGTTGATATTCCTCTCTTTAGATCAGGCTTCTCTACAGGACATTGTCTGTTGTCAGGACTGAGTTACTTTTTATGGAAAGTAATGTGTTACATTACTTTTGGGTTACTTTTTCTCATCTGGGCTGGGTTTGCTTGTTTGTTTTTAATATAAAAAAATTCTATTTTTGGCCAAAGTTAAAGCCCTTCCAAACCAAAAGTGAAATGAAAAAGCCTCAGGCAGAAGGAAATGTAAATTCACGTCTGTACAGTAGAGGGCGCAGCTCAAATAAACCTTTCAGCTCTGCTGCCGTTCTGGACTACATGAAGAATAGGACGCAGGAGAAGAAAGTTCAACACTCTTCAGCAATACAAAAAAGAAAAAGGAAACTAGACACAAATGTTATGTTTATCTAAAGTCATTGTTTGCTTATTAGTGTGGCTGAATTGGATCGTCAAGGATCAGCCGCAAAGACATTGGTTAATAAAATGGGATTAAGTACATAATGGATGTTTGTGTTATTTAACATATTGCAGGTTTGTGTCATATTCTGAGTTCGCATTTCGTCTAGATCTAACATCATAGCGCACACAACGCCTCTGCACTTACTCCTGATTTCGCTCTACATGCGAAAAAAAATGAGAAAAAGTAACTGGTGTTACTTATTTGAAAAAGTAGCAGATAATTACTTGTAAATTAAAAAGTAATGCATTACTTTACTAGTTTGAAAAAAGTAATCTGATTACGTAACTTGCGTTACTCTGCGTTACCCCCAAACTGCTGTTTTCACCTCTAATTTCTCATTTAACAGAAGAATTTATACCTGATGTACATCACCTCATTTTCGTCACTTTCTTTGACGGTATAAACAGCGTGATACAAAAAAGAACGTGGGAAAAAATGTCAATAGTAGATGCAGCGTGTGTGATGTATCGGGATGTGTGCCATTTCGTTGTGGTGTTTTTTAGCATATGGCCACATGTAAAAGTCAATTAGAGCAGAGCTGATGTGGCAGCTCTTCCCGTCTCTCTCCTCCACAAGCTTCCAGAGATGCTGCCGGATTCTCTCCACACACCAGATGGAGCAAGCTCTGATCTCCACCTCTCTCCGATCACCTGAGCTCAACACTTCACCTGTGAAAGAACTAACAATCACTACTGATGAGATTACCTGTCTATTATTTAAGGATTAATATAATAAAGCCTGTCAAGAAATGTCCATATTCCACCCAACAATTGAAAGAAAGTATTAAAATATTATATTAAATTTTTACATATTATATTCTTACATTAGAATATTAAAGTATATTTTGTTATGGTGGGACTTTTATGCCTATTAAGCACATTTTCCAAAAAAAAAAAAAAATTATCAAAAAGTTGCAAACCATTTTTCAATGTCTCCACAAGGGCATCAGAGTAGCGTAAAGCTCCAAGGTACACAAGGCATTGTGGCACCCTGTAGTCTGCGAACATGGTCAGGTAGTCCAGGTTAGGGATGTGTCCCTCCCCTCGTGCCTCCGTGATGCCCCAGAAGTCTGCCACAAGGATCTGAGCTCTCTTATAAAACGAGATCCTCTTACCCTACAATATCAACAAAATCATGAGGTGAGAGCCCTTCTGAAAAATAACATACTTAACTGTGAATTGAATGCAATGTTTTCAGATACTTAAGTGCATGTCAATCGCAATTAAATGAAAAATGATTAAAGTTTATATTAAATGCATTTAGTTGAACTTAAAAGTGCTTATTTGACCCCCTTAAGTAGGACTATCTTTATATGCAATGTCATAAATACTTCTAGGTCAGTGGTTCTCAATTCCAGTCCTCGCGTTCCACCGCTCTGCATATTTTGCATGTCTCTCAATTTAACACACCTGATTCAGATCACCAGCTCCTTGGAAGAGAGCTCGACGCATGAACTGTGTTCCCATTGATAGGGTCCCTACACAGTGTTCATTGCTCCCGGGAAATCTGTTAAAGGGTTAGTTCACCCAAAAATGAAAATTAGCCCATAAATTACTCACCCTCAAGTCATCCTAGGTGTATATGACTTTCTTCTTTCAGACGAATCCAGTCGGAGTTATATTAAAAATAGTCTTTGATCTTTCACGCTGTTTAATACCACTCAGTGGGTGTTGCATGCATCAGTCCAAAAGAAGTTAAATAAAAAGTGCCCATACATAAAAAAAAAACACGGTTCTGGGGGGTGAACAAAGGCCTCCTGTAGCAAATCCATGCTTTTTGTAAGAAAAATATCCATATTCAAAGCGTAATAGTCACTTTAATCTAGCTTGCGCCAGCAGTTGTACACGGCAGCAGCTCCGGGCGGATGACGTATGAGATCAGCTTTGCGCATGCGCCGGTGAGTCTCGTGAAAACCAACGTTTGTTTACAGGATCAAAAGAAGCAAAGTTTCCTTACTTTAGCAAAGGAAAACCAGTCTCCTCTTGGCTTATATCGAAATCCTCCGAAATTCTTCTTTACAAATACTCGTTTTGTACTTCTAATTAGTGACCGTTGTTTTGTTTCCTGTGCTTCCGCGTTCGTCACTTCTGAGCGGCGCATGCGCAAAGCTGACCTCATACCTCATTCCCCCGGAGCTGCTTCCGTTTACAACAGTGAGCGCAAGCTAGATTCAAGTGATTATTACGGTTTGAATATGGATATTTTTCTTACAAAAACGCATCGATTCGCTACAGGAGGCCTTTGTTCACCCCCCGGAGCCGTGTAAGACACTTATTTTTATGGATGAGCGATTTTTATTTAACTTCTTTTGGACTGATGCACTGCAACACCTGTTGACTGCCATTAAACAGCTTGGAAGATCAAAGACAATTTTTAATATAACTCCGACTGGATTCGTCTGAAAGAAGAAAGTCATATACACCTAGGATGCCTCGGGGGTGAGTAAAACACATCTTAATTTTCATTTTTGGGTGAACTAACCCTTTAAAGGTGACTACAGATGCCCAGAAAATGCGCAAATATACGGTTTATAGAACAGTTGCAAAGCGTAAAAGCAAAAAAAGAAATCATATTGTTTCCATGTATTTCGTGAACAGATTATATTTTGTAAACGATTATATAACGTGGACCATACACCAGACCTTATTGATTTGGACATTTAAGCCACAATTGATAATGTATCATGCAAATTTGTAACGAAATAACAAAACAGCAAGTGATAGAAGTAGGGCCTATGCTGTTCAAAATGGATATGAAGTCTTAAGACACTTTCTGGCTGTCAAAGGGGGACTGTCAAAGGGGGAAAGCATATCAAAACGTTAAAAAGTAGATTTTCGCCATATGGGGTCTTACTTAGTGACCCATGCTACACAAATAATGTGCATGCATGCTATAATAAAAACTGTGTCAGACAAAATGATAAAGTTGGTAAAGTTTTCTTTATCATAACAAGGTGTGAAGCCATCAAGATTACTGTCGACCAAAGTGCAAAAACGTCTGAGGCAACAATTCAACCTTTCACATTTTGCATTGCGTGCATAAATGTGCAGACAACAGAATAAGAGCACAGGACAAAATTAACTGCAACTGGTCCAAGTGTAAGATATTTATTATTATTATTTACACGTGTCTGCAATCTTTAACCCCCTTATTGAGATTGGAAATTAATGATGAATTATAATTAATCTCACAAAATGTGAAAAAGTCCTGGACAATGTCACCCTATAATCAAAATCAGAAAATTAAGCCTGTTTTTAGGGCCATAAGAGACTCTGTGGTTACATTATTATCACATCCCACCAAAACCAGTAGTTTACTAGAATGCAAAAAGTCTCATTTGGACAAATGCACAAAAACATATAACGGTTACAAACATTTGTGAAGTAGGCCTATACTGCTGGTATGTTTTTAATTAAGGAATTAATTCGTCCAGACAAGATGATTTACATTACATAGTACTGACATTATTTAATAATCGTATCACACTGGGAAAAAATGGCAATTCCTTTATTATTTCAGACAAATGACAAACTCTACAAATGTGCCTGGCTGGAGAACTTGAGACAATTTGAGTAAAAAAATAAAGATAAGAAAAATAAAACAAAGAATAGGAGCGTATGAATTACCGTCCTGCTCTGACACAAATATGGTCTAAAACTTCAAATCCACTTTTGTTTTCTTCTCTTCTTTATTAAAAAAAAACAAAACAATAGTGAGCCTTCTTTTAAGATGGCAGACCTACAAAAAATTCCAGAGGTAGAGCAAATTTTTAAACACTAGATTTTAAAAACCCAGCAACAGACAGGAGAAGAAAAAAAAAAACATACAAAAAAAGTACTGCAAGCCTTCAGTACCTGGTGAAAATATTATCTGTATTTCTGAGGATAAAACATTACACACATGGAACAGAGAGTGTGATGGATATATTCTTATGTCCATAGTAATCATTTCCCATAGTATCATTGGATATTTACATTTCATTCTCTATCTAGCCGTTTTAGAAGTGTAAAAAAAAAAAAATTTTTAAATTGTTGTGTGCCTGTGCACATTCTGGATCAAGCGTTTGGAATAGTGGAAAAGTTTCATGACTCACAAAACATTCACTCCAAAAGGGAAAACAACAACAGCAGTTTTCTGCTCATCCAAGACTTCTGTGAAGTGATAGTTGGCCCATATAAAATTAATATTTATAAAAACAAAGCAAAAGAAAGAACAATCCCACAAAATCCACAATCGAGGACAATCAGAGGGCTCGGGCTCGTACGATTCTATGAGAGACTCCTATGAAGGTGACGGACAGGGTCAGGCCATCACGTGCTGCTGACGGGGACTTGAGCTGCAGCTGGATGGACATCCTGAGAAAGGTGGGCTGGTCAGTTCTGGCGTCCCAAGAGGTGTAGAGCGCTAGAGAACAGAACATGTGGGAGAGACCATCAGCAAAGACTACAGATACACAAAGACGGTTCAATCCAATTACTTATGAATGGGAGAAACGGCATATTCCGCCATATTGCATATATGGTGGAATATGTCCCGCCTTCTAAATGAAAGAGCCAATTGCTGATTGGTAACGTCATTCGCTGCGTCTCATTTCAGAAGCTGTGCCCTCCGGAGGTCACATTTGTTGGCTGCATACGTCATCAAGGATGTCTTATTTAAGAAAAGTAACTGTAATATACTGTAAAATATGTAAATACTGTAATTTCTTTTTACTTTGCAATTTAACGGTTACTTTACTTAAATGAGACTGCCCGATGACGTATGCAGCCTTCAAATGCGACCTCCGGAGGACACAGCCTCCGAAATGAGACGCAGCTATTGCGTCACTGCAGCAGCCATTAGAGGCTCCGGTTCCCATAGAAACCTGAGACTGCGCCAGTGGATGAGTCTCATACCTGTTCTGTAACAGGTACTGAGCGTTCTGGATCTGGTCTTGGGTCCCGGTGATGGTGATAATGCGGTCCTCTGAACCCTGCAGGGGCTCGTCTATTTTGATTGAGGCTCCGGACTCATGGCGAATCTGCTTGATCCTCTGACCGCCTTTACCGATGATGGATCCCGCCAGCTGAGAATCACAGCAGAGGGAGGTAAACACACGGTTCAGGTGTAAAGCGCATCGCATCAAGGGCGATTTACTCACATCTTTAGGAATCGTCACTTGTGTGGTGATCACAGGACCTTCAGTGTAACTGCTCCTTCCACCTGAGAACACCGAGAGAGTGAAATCACCATAACATGACGGGAGATTTACAGCTGAAGAATTTTCAAGTTGGCCAGTTTTATAAACAGGATGGCATACTTACCAGACTGATAAGAGGAATCCCAAGATGAACTGTTGTCTGATTTGAGAAAAGCAAAATGAAACTGTAAATAATCTTATGCAAAGACGACGACAAATTGTGTAAATTGGGCCACTCTTTTGATAGTCTTTTTAATGTCAACAAGTGTCTCAATTTAGTTGAATTCATTAAGTAAAATCATCTGCAAAATAATCTGTACTTAATACGCATTGACAAACATAAACTTTCTTTTAATCAAAAAATTTTAGATGAATCAACCCCTAAACAACATGAATGAATGAAAATTGAATGCAGAAAAGCAAATATGCATTTAAAGACAAACTTACCATATCCATCATTCTGTGAGAGAGAAGAGAACAGAAATGTGAGAATCAACAACCTCAAACACAAATGAAAACAATGTGTCCATCCCTTTATTTCGATGGCAACTATCTACTCAATCATCATCAGTTACCCGGTAACATTTCAACTGCTTCAGCATTGGATGCTATTGTTAAGGAAACTTTTCCTTAAAGTTGCCATGAAACAGAAATTGCGACTGTCTTTCACATTGTGACGTATACTAAACTAAAATTATGTAAGCTTGTTTCCATCACTGAATAAAAAAATAGTTATTGTGAATTTTGATCTTACAATTCTGAAATTTCTTCCCTCATAATTCTGAGTTCACATCTTGAAATTTTTTTTTTGGGGCCAGGAAATAAAAAAATAAAAAAAGTAATTCCAACTTTTTTTCTCACAATTCTGACATTTTTCTTGCGATTGCAAGTTTATTTGAAGAATTTAAATTTTCAAGATTTTAAGTAGTCGAAAATATCCCTAAATGAAGAATTCATATGAATATTCCATATTTCATGGCTATTTGATTAAAGCAAGCTTTTTTGGTTGATATTCCTCTCTTTAGATCAGGCTTCTCTACAGGACATTGTCTGTACTGTATAGGACTGAGTTACTTTTTATGGAAAGTAATGGAACACATTACTAGAGCTTATCTCACAAAAAAAGTCATAATTATGAAATATAAACTCAATATTGATTGAATGATGATTTGATTTTGATTAAATATTACGAGGGCAGGTTTTTTTTTTCTTTAAATGATGTAAACACAAGTAATTTATAATGAACACTCCCAACATTCCAAAAAATAAGGATTGCCAATTTTGATG